AGATGAGGGGATGTCTGTCGAGCTGTGGCTTGTCGCCAAGGTGACAGAGACCCAGCTCCCAGCATGCTGAGTGTGCTGCAGCTGCCGCCGGTGCTAAGAGGGCCACATGATGAAGATGATGATGTGCTTGGGCCCCATCCAGGGGTCTCCATCAGAATGTGGGCAGAGAGGCTGTGTGTGTGCGTGTGTGTGCGTGCGTGCGTGCGTGCGTGCGTGCGTGCGTGCGTGCGTGCGCACATAAACGTGTTTGTGAGACAAGACAAGAGTCAACACAGTGGGCCACTCTTGAAAACAATGATCTCAATCAAGTGCAGGTGCTTTCTACCACTCAAGTGTTTTCACCAAAACCCCTCCAGCTTGTTTTCATAGACAAGTCACTGTAACCAGCTGTTCTCTTTCTTTTTGAAACCTGAAGCAGAGGAAAAGAAAGAGGGTGGGGGAAAAAAAAAACCTGGATTGAAATGCTTACCTACGTCAGAAGCTCAACATTTTCTTTGCGATATTTTCGTCAAAATTACAAACACTTTCTTTCTTTGTCATGTTTTTTCAAAGCTGCGAGAGAACACAAGCAGAAGCAGAAAACAATCAAGCCACCGTGATTTGGTAACAGTTCTCTTTTTTTTTTTCTCTGAGGCCTCGGCAAAATAGAAAAGTAAATCAAGCGGTGGGAGCCTGGCGGTTAATATATGAAACTAAAGTGCATGAAATTTAAAAGTTTTCCAATTAAGCGAGGACTTTAAGCTGTTTGGAGGCTGTCGGGATGGAGATAAACGTGGGCTGAGGCTAATGAAGACCAATGCTGCTGATGACTAGGCACTACAACATGTATACAGATAACTGTGGATGCTGTGACGCCTTTTAATTGTCACCCCCTCCACCACCCCCACCCCCCACCACCACCACCACCCCCTTCATCAGAGAGGAATTATTATTAGCCCCCCACCACCCCTCGTTTGTGCCAAGCCTTATCTCGCTCTTGTTTTCCCTCTCGTACTCACTCTTGTTTTTCATTCTGTCTTTTTTCTCCACAGTTTGGCCAGTGGGTTGAATTTGCAGTCGTCTCTGCGTATGCCTGCTATGTTTGGCAATAACTGAACTGATGTTTTCTCAAATTATCATTCACATATTTTTTTTTTTGTTTTGTTTTGTTTTCTTCTGTTCTTTTGACATCAGTCACAGCTCTTTCTGTTTAGTCTTGCTTGCTGCTTTTCTGTTTGTCATTTTCCCTCACTGTAACCTTGTATCACCTCGGCCCGTCACTCGTGAATACACAGCATAATGGGACGTTCCAGGCTGATTTGGTTTTACATGGTTCAGGTAGTTTTTCCCTCCAGTGTCTTAAAGATTCCATGAATAGAAAAATAAAATTATAGATATCCGCAGAAATAGAAATTGAAACTGCTGTTTGTGTACATGACTAAAATCATATGTTTTAAATTCACTTGTCATGTCACCTGTGTTGTCGTGGCCCAGTTTGCTTGTTAAAAACGAATTTCCATGTTCAAATCAAATTATTGTTTTTTTAATAACCTCCAATCAGACTGTACTCCACACTCCTTTAAAGCTCTCCAAGCTCTCCAGTGTTGATTAGAAAGTTTGCTGCTAATGAGTTCTCTTGATAAAGAATAACTGGCATTGTTCAATACTCTGAGTGGCCCTAATGAAACTCCAGCTGATGAAGATTTTAATCGTGTGAGCGCCACATAATGAACGAGCGCTCCAAATTCCCATTTTCAAGTTGAATGCCACTCCTCTGGAAAGCCTGAATTTGTTTGACAATTAACCAATAGAAAATCTTTTTTTTTTTTAAAAATAGGGCATTTTGTTGACGAAAGTTTAACTTCTCAGTAAAACTGTCAGGAGAGCTGTGGAGACTGGAGATTGCAGAAAGAATAGATGATTATACTGGGGTCAGTCAATGCTTGCTTTCTGAAATAACTGGTTTTAATGTTGTGGCTGATCAGTGTGTGAAACTGTACGTTTTGAAAGGTTTTTTTTCTTGGATGTGGCACCAGTTTAATCCACAGTATGTGGACCCCAGCCCCAGGGTTAAGGAGATTCTGTCTCAACTTTGTACTACACAATAACAAACATCACACAGAGATTTTTTTCATTGACTTGATATGAATATATACAGTACAGCATTTATGCTATTATAAGTGCATTAGGTCTGTCGTCGGTGTCACCTGCATCATTTCATCAGGTAACAATTTCCCACCGTGAATCTCTCAGAGCAGCAGAGAGCGTTTGTGTCATTAATGTGCAAATGGGTCCATCAGAATGAGAACACCTACTGTGTAGACCTGGTTTACTTTTAAAGAGCCTGAAGCCATTTCCACACAAACACAGGTAAATTTGAAAACGCATCTGTTTGTCTGTTCTGGCCTTTCATCAGCCCTTAGCTCGCTGCTGCAAACAAAGCTTTCAGAAATTTAAAAAAAAAAAAAAAAAAAAGCTCTTCAGTGTGAATCGCTTCAAAAACACCAGTCTTGTGTTGCGGCATGGACGGGAAACACTGACATGTGATTAACAGCTTGTTAACATGTTAAAACAAAACAAACAAGGCTGATATCTTATTTTTATATGTAAAATGCACAATACACACCTTTCTGTCCGTGTAAAGCGACCGTACAAACATGAATCAGGATTGGATTAAAAAAGGATTGATTGGAGTCCAAGAGTTACAACTACAAAACAAAGTCACAGTGTTTTAGTGTGCAGTCGCTCACACTGACAGAGGTCAAACGCTTTTCTTTAGTCATCACTTATCCAGCAGTGCACCAAAGTTTAAAAAAAAACGTGAAAGAGGAGATGAAGACATTTTTGTTGTCTTGACACTTCAGTGTGTGTGTGAATAGAAAACATTAAGATCACAAACTGAAGTAAGTACACAAGGAAGTGTTTGACACAGCATTTTTCTGTTTACCTGCAGCAGTGTGGAAACAGCTTTGACATTGTGCCAAAATGTTTTTCTTTCACTTTCAAATCTGAAATGAAAGTGTTATGACTGACATTAGTATAAATACATTTGTCTTTTAAGGACCTTTAATATAAACAAAAGTTACAGTTTAAATATTTTTTTTTTTTCATTTTTTTTGATTAACAATAAATTCTTCCTCACAAAGTCAGACTGATTAAAGTCCATTAGGATTGCAGCAAATCTAGATGAAAAGAAAGACAATAGGGACTTGGCAAATATAGACATAACTCTAATAAATAAACACAAAAATTACAGGATGCTACAAACACATTCAAACAAAGTAGAGCCTCTCCTAAGTGTAAAGACAGACAAGGGATCAGGCAGGTATATAAATAGTTCTATAGCAGAACCCTGTACTTACAATGTTTTTCTCTTCCCTCCTTAGGATGCGTTCCTTGTCATTGCAGCAATCCTCTTCTTTGTTCTCTGCGTCTACGCCTTCTTCTACCTCAACCTGAGCACTGAGATTAACCTGGATGTGGATGTGGATTAATAAGAGTTGGACCTTCTTCTTTACACACTTTGTTGTTGACATATTGACGGTGAACCTCTTCTTCAGGAGAAATGCTGCAATGCATTAATCAGTAAAAGTTTCAGGCCATTTTTGAGATTTGACATTACCTTGTGTGTATTTTCTGTGTGCGGTATATGCAATGAAACTGTACTGACATATAATTACTGACATAATTATACAATGGTTTTACATCTATAAATGATTCATTATTTCCCTGAAGTACCTTTGATTCCTGTTCTCTGAAAAAGTCAATGACCTCTTGCTCCACGGCACTTGAAACATTCTGCTGCAAAATCTACAATCAGCAACGGAAATGAGCCTCTTTTTTTTTTTTTTTTTACACGAGTCTTCCAAACTACGGTTGAGACCAAGCTTTGTTAATCTTATTCTGTGGAGTCACGTCCCTCTGTTTTCTCCTCTAATAGAAAAATGTAAATCTCCCGCTGAACCTCTCGTCACATCGAGACAAACACTTGCCTCACATTCCCGTGCACAAACCTCTCCTCCCGGATATCTGGAGATCACAAAGTGTGAGATTAGAATCCACAAAGCCCTCGTCCTGATTGAACATGTGTGCAGAATACAGAGCAACACATTGTACCTGCTGCACATACACGCAGCACTTAGACAGACACCCGCAGGATTAGCATTACAAATATGACGCTGTTCTTTCATTTGAATGGAAATTACATACATGAACGATGACTGAATAAAGGTGGCTCTACACCTTGATGATTTTCTTCTTGTCAAATATGTATTGCTGTCCCTTTTTAAAGATGTGATGCGTCTCTGTAGAACGGAATATGAAGGTTCGTCAATGCTTCTTTTTCACAAGTCTTTACTCTTTGTGCACCAGGCCGGCAAGACGTACAGACTGACCTTCTATTAACCATTTCAGTCCAAGTGCTTCCACTGTTTGAGATTCTTTATCACATGTGCAAAGTCGGGGTCTTTTTTTATTGAGTCCATTTGTCTTTGTTGGAAATTGTACATTATTTTTCATTTTATTAACACTTTATATTCCATGTTTTTCCCCTAACTAGCAATAGCAGCACTGTTGTCTAAAAGGCAACTGACGCATTGTTTTTGAAGTCGTCTATAAAAGTCCTATACCAAATACATAGGACTTCTTTTGTTTCGAGTCTTAAAAAAACAACAAAAAAAAACAAAACAAGTCTTATGTCTGTGCCCGATTGTGTTCTGTGGCTCATAGGATTCTCGAAATGTGAGACACATTTTGAGCTTTCAGTTTCGGCCTTTTCTCCTCTTTTCTCCCATGACCTTCCGACCTCTAGTAAAAGACTACATGTCAAAGAAACCATTATGATAAGCATGCGCCCGTACCCTCACCCAGTGGCTTTTATCAAGCCTTGGTACATTCAGGACCCCCCCCCCCACACACACACACACACACACACACACACACACACGTGTAACAATAGACAGCCCGACCGAATAGACCTTCATACATGACACCTGTTATCTAAAAGGTCACCATTACCAAACACAAGGGCTCTGACATCAGCACAGTGGAAAAGATCTGGCAGCACAGCCTATTTGTTCAGACCCATGTTTGGCAAGATGAGATGCAGGCTATTTTTCCCAGTAGTGTAATGGTCAGTGCTATTTTTGAATTGGTTTGTTTGGTGTATATAAACATTTTTATTGTTTACTTTGTCATTATGATTCAGTTACTGGATACTGTGGGACATATTAGTCACTGTGTTTCTTTTAAATTGCTTTTAAAATCAAAAATCATGTATCTCTTTATAAGGAAATATAAACAATGTATAATGTAAAAAAAAAAGATTAAAAGATCATTTCAGTTTTAATTAATTTATTTGAATTGATGTTTTGTGATCTTAAGTGTGAATCAAGCTGTGTGGTACATGAGAAAAAGGTATGTTATGTGAATTTATGGCTTTTCAGCATTTAAATCTGGACCCTTAGCTGATGCAGACAGGCAATATATAGTTCAGAAAAGGCCAGCAGTATCAATTTTCTTCCAATCCTTGGACATATCTAAAGCCATTTATGTGGCAAAGTAATTACTATAATTGCAAATCTTAAATGATATAAAAGAAGGGGTTGAATTTAATCACGGTGACAACTGATCAGGCTGTGCATACCCAAGATAACACCTTGACATTAACTTTAACTACCAGTAATGTTTCATTCTTCTTTATCCCTACAGGTTTATATTTAGCTGTTAAATGAAGGTGTAGTCGTTACTTTGTGTCTTAAAAGTTAATGAATAAAAAATTATTGTCGATTTTCTTTTATGGGCTAAAAGCTCGCCATTATTCCTCTTAGATAATTTTATTCCTAAGCTATAAACAACAGTGTTCTATCAGTGATGGGTTATTAAATCGTATTGACTTCATTGGTCCACATGTCTTGTCCTGGCCTTCCGTTATTAAGCGCAAATCTGCTCAACAATGAAACGGTGAGGATGTTGACACAGGATTCCCTGAGTGAGATGCTACATGAGATCAGATGTGACAGTAGGTTGGAAATGTTCCTTGTTGCTCTGGGCTGGAGATGCGCACAGCAGAGTTAATCCACAGCAATGACAAAAGGACACGAGTGTGGCGTCCCTACATGTCATGTGACACGTCTCTGCTAATTGACGGTGTTCCATTGATTTCCGTTTGCAGCAAGTCAAACAGAGGAAATGAATCACGCGGTAGCAGTGTATGAGCATTTAGCACGAGCTCAACAGCCTTTCACAGGAGCTGAACGCACTGAGGCTTTACCTACCATCCTGTGACAAATGAGCTAAACGCCACGCAACCAAATCCCGCTCATTAGTCATGTGAGGTATGTCACCAAGAGTAATTATACTTAGCCCAAAATGTGTATATGCACCAACACACACACAATATGTAACGTTGCTGCACTTTCCCACACTTGAGGCAGTAGGAAACATTCTCATACATGTATGGCTGTTTACCGAGACATGAATCATAATTATGACTGCTGGTGAACCCGACACCGCGCGCTTGCTGAGCATGCTGGGTTTGGCTTGCATGGTATTTGCTTTTGACATAAACAAACACATGTATTTTGTCACATCTTCTGTCTGTACCATGACGTCATGTGAACATAAATGCACACTGACCTCAGTGTATTTTTGTATTTGGTTTCTGAGATGGCGTTTACCTCTCGTTTCAGTGCCATTTGTGTGTGTGTGTGTGTGTGTATGTGAGCATACAGAAGGTTTGTGCAGCCGCCTTCCTCCACAGTGTGTTCATCTGTGTGTGTGTATTTTCAATATTCAGAACCGTGCCTGTGGCCATGCTCCAGTGGAGCGCTCAGTCTCTCTGACGGACTGGTGAGAAGTGAGGAGGGTCAGTCCCGCCAGGAGCTCATTTAGTCCCTATCTCTATCACACACACACACACACACACGCAGTCTCTCTACAAGTCACTCTGACAGGGAGGCTCATCGCTCCTGCTCACTCTCACACATACACATGCACACAAACACACACTACTGTGCTCCCATTAGGGAGATATAGTGAGAAGACAGGACTGATGATGCATGTCACAAAGTAGTACTGCTAGTCTCACACATAATGTCCCCCCCCCCGTTTTCTTCCCCCTCATTGATTTGCCGCTTTACTGCACATCTTTCACTGCCTCTGCAGTTCTGCTTAAATATGTAAAACATGTAGATTTCCATCATGTAAGCCACGTTGGTGCACACATCCAGAGTCAGAGGGTCACCGCAGTCATAAAAGCTAAAATTTCTGTTTGACACCGTGTGGTGTGATGTATATTTGGAAGCCGTAGCTTATTAATAACTGTAAATTCAATCTTATTCTTTGGAGATTCTCCTGCTGTGAGTGATGTTGAATATCTTTGTGTTTTACGAACATGTGATAGTCAGAGTTCTGTATTGTCTTCGTCCTACAAATGATCGTCCTACATTTCTTAACGCCCAACCAAATGCAGGTACCTTCAGGCTCTAATGTGGAAAAACAAACATGAAAACGTCAACGCTGAACTTGACAGTAATACTTTGGTGTTTAATTCTGGGCCGACCTCTGCTGCCTGTGTGTCTGATATGAATGCATTAGCAGGATTGTGCTGTGCGGTGGATTAGAAACTCCCCCGTGCTTTGTGAGGTGTGTGGTAATGCCAGACTTAGTGGATTCTGCTGCGAATCACAACCTCCCATCGCCTTCTTAATCCCTGATGCGCTGCCTAATGACACAGAGACTGAAGAACTCAGCGGGAGAGCAGCGAAAGGCAGGAAGGGCAGGGAGAAAGTGACAGAAAAGTTGTGAAGGCACAGAAATACTTCAAGGTCTGAGAGTCTCTCGGTAGAAAACTGTGACTTTGTCTCACTGATTGACACTGAAGACATCACTGATCCGTCTCTACACTAATGCGGTATTTGCGATTTGAGGGAAATGTGCGTGTGCAACTTTTGGCTTTTTGTTTGTGTGTGTGTTTACAACTGTGGCATCCATAATCAGTGTGTCATGAGCGGATAGAGCAGGTGCTCAACAGGTGTGCTCTCTGATACCAATCCCTCTCCATTTGCCTGTCTGTCCCTCCATGTTTGCACACGCTCATTGTGTTCTCCATAGAGGAGCACCTGGGCTCTGCTGCACCTGGGCTTGTTGCCCAGTCCTCTGTCTAACAGCGCGCACGCACACACACACACACACACACACACACACAGACACACACACACAGACACACTCACTCACATGGGAACACACTGGAACACGGCCAGTTCCTGTTACTGGCTGAAGCAGGAAGCAGCAGCTGACATCCTATCCTTCAGTTCCCAGGAGACTCAACACCCTGAGTAAACCATCCAACTCATCTGAGAATCAGGCCTCTTGTACACAGCAGTTAAATGGAAAGAAGAGCACTGAGGACTCTGTTAGCACATTAGGCTAATAGTTATTGGGCACTTCTGTCGAATTCTCTAAGGCTGATTGTTTTGGGTGGCCATTTGTTTTGCCTTTCAAGAGTGGTATATCATGCCAACAAAAGCAACAGTGTGCTTCACAGCTTTCTGAGCTCATTTTCAGCGAATAAGCTTCAGTGGCAGATGCCAAACTTGGCTGTGGTTTGTCTGTTTAGATCAGCGTACCTTCCCAAGCAACAGAGATGACTATGTTTTAGAAGCAAAAAGCATTAGCAACTCTTTTTTTTAAAATGTTTTGTTTTCGATAACTTAAAACTGTCTTCAAACTATCTCCAAAGTTAAAACAAATACATGTCAATTATTTAAAATATTTTTACACCAATTTTGACTGTTTATTATCAGGATTATTCAACACCTGGCTTTTAAAATAGATAGATAGATAGACAGACAGAATTTACTTATCCCCTAGGGGAAATTCATGTGTCCAGTAGCTCATTAGTAATAACAATAATAATAATAGTTCATAATAAACAATAATAAATTAGTCCACTTCCTTTTAGCGTGTGGGAGACAAAGACAAAGTGATAGCCTCCAAGAAACGGAGCAGAGTTGCTGTGTTTCACTGGTGTGTTTGGCCATGCACTAGTGAGCGTGGGATTACCTGAGGGAATATCACCAACAGGTTTTCTTCTGGTTCTTTTGGTTTGTTGTGGTTTTTTACTTGAGTGAGTAAGGAGATCTCAGCTCCCTCCTTCTCTCTCTGTGAATCACCGTTCCATTGAGTAGGCAAGCACTGATGCATGCTGGTCCATTCAGGTATAGCATAGTGGCTCGCTTGATTGTTTCCCAACCATCAGACTCTCCAATCAGTGCTTAGTTTAGAAAAAGTTCAGTAATTTAAGCGGTTAAGTGGTGCAGTGGTTGCCTTTTCTTGTGTTGTAATTGAAAACACTTAAATTACATTGTTTGATGAACATTTGTTTGTATGTGATTTTATTTAAACCTAGGGTGTGTGCAGATTTTTTTTTTTCACCACTTAAACCTTGATCTTACTTCAGACGTCGACAGCTGTGGACTTGCATACACACAGCAGACGTGGACACACTTCTATACATACTAGAAATCAGTGACATGTGTATGCACACACGTTCAACATATTTAATTGGAAAGCACGATGGTGACCTCCTGACATCCAGAGGAAGAGACCCTTTGGTTTATTTGACTGAACAACAAGAAACATTCAATAAATAAAAGCGTGTATCCAGTCAACAAGAATAGGGTCATGGATGAGGAATACAGTGTGTAC